AAAATTATGAATACATGTCACAGTGTAATGATATTTTTAGCCAAGAGAAAATATAGGTGCTCTCTCATAGGGGCTCTCTTGTAACATTATGTTCACTATGTTTTTAAGAATTTTTTTGTTAATTTTTTTGGGTGTCACATCAGTTGTTACAAATTAGTAATGTTTAAACTAATTAATAAATACATTGATACTATAAAATCATGCAATAATAGTTATATAGAATCAACACAAAACAAATTAAGTATAATACTATGTAAAAAAATCTTACGATTACTACTGGGCAAGAGAGAAAACAGGTAATACATCCCGTAACACATTTTTAAACCCGGAGATTAGGGAGGCAACGTACCATGGTCGGGAGGTCATTCCAAAATTTTGCTTTGTAAACCACGAAAAGATCTACCAGCCACTCAAGTTGGTGTATGGGAGATGAGCTGCTCATTAGGGATATATTTCTGATGGGTATAACACACTTCATACGCTATTCCACTAACCTCCCTCGGAAATATCACCAACAACTGAACGTGCTATTTTTAACATTCTGTACATGAATAAACTCTACATGTCCGTGAGTGTGTTTCTGTGTTGAAATTCCACACGCCCGAGAGCCCAACTTTGCGCCAACTCTCGCGCTTTATCAGCTAAAAACACGGACGCGCGTGACCCAGTGAGCCAAGCGCTATTATTTTTCCCTCTTTCCGAAAAACGCCACCGAGCCGATGGCGTTGCAAAAACAAAAAGTTTGCAACGCTCGGATGAACAGCGCCGGGAGAGAGAGAGAGCATCACCGATTCCGAAACATAAGCAACGTCGTCGACAACGCGCGTCACTGCTCCGTCAATGCGTGCTATCGAAATTCCATATCACGAGCCGAGCCGCTCGAGCGTAAATCAACCGGAAAGGCGTGGACTGTGTTGCCCTTTGTGCGCTCGCCCTCGACGACGGACGGATGGCCGATGGGGATTTTTCGAAGCATTCCCGTGGTGTTTTTTTTTTTTTTTTCATGTTTATCGCTCGTTAGTGCGCTTTCTCTCGGCCTTCTGATTATTGTTTCGTCCTGCGAGAAAACGCTAGTGCAAATCGGGCACATGTACACCCTCCTAGTGGTATTTTAACCAGCACGCAAAGTATGAATGAAACCATTTTTATGAATAATATATTATGGATACTGCTGGGTGGGGAAAATCGATTGCACAGAGGTGATGGTTGTCCGTAATATTGAGTTACATCACTGAGAAAGTAGCTACGGGAATAACGCCAAGGTTGTGTACGTAAAGTTGTAAAATGGGGGTTTTAAGTAATCGTTGAAATTGCACGGGTGTTTGTTAATTTTGAGGTACATCCTATACCGGTCTAGTGTAGAAAGAATCACTTGCAGTCATGCTACCTTAAATGATTGATCGTCGTGTGACTGAAGCTTTTTTATTCGTTGCGTGATTGGTTAGGACGGGTCAAATGGTTCGTTTGGGGGGATTTTTTTTTGAAAAATGAAATGTATTAAAGTCATAGAGTATAATGTAGGGTGACGATAGTTAATTTGTTTATTTTAGCCAAGCAAATTGTTTTTGCGATGCATCGAAGCTATCGCGATTCAACCCCCGCAGTTCCAGGGACTGTAGAAATCGTCATGTGGAAAAAGGAGAAGATCGAGACCCCCAGCAGTAAGTTGTCATAAACGGGAAATTGGAATAATCGAAGAATCAATCGTCAATGCCCGCGTGAAAAAAAAAAAAAAAAAAAAAACTGGCGAGCATCGCGTACTTATTCAAAGTCAAAATGAATCGAGCACACACATGGACTTGCATTGAGCGCGTGTATGTATTATTACTTACACATAAAGCACAAATGTGCGAACGAGCCGGCGAGCGAGAGATAACGCGATAAGGCGTGCCGACGACGACAACACACGCGGGCGAGTCGAGCGCTTGTGTGTGCATATACGTGCTGCGTTGCCGTTTCTCTTGATATACACGCCCGGCTCGCGGCGAAAGGCAACAGGGCCACGCACATGTACCCTTTCTTCCTCCTCCTCTTCTTCTCCTTTCGACTCGTTTGATTCTTGCTCGTCTTTTTTTCTTACTTCGAACAAGAGGGGGAGGCCAGGGGATTTCGGAGCCATGTGCATACGCTACAGGCTTGGTCTGCTGTACGACATCGCCGTCACGTTCATTTCCGCGATTTCGTGTATTGTTACCTCGATTTTCGTCCGTGACCCCCCGATAACCTGCGCAAAACTTTGTCTATACCCACAAACACGTAACGCAATCGGATCGCGGTGTATGCGTGAGTGATAAATACACCGGGGCGTGGGAGAGAAAAAGCAGAGACACGCGCGTCTCGTTGGAATGAATAATCAACGCCCGGCATAAAGTGCTCGTAAATAAATATGCAATGTGCACCAGGAGAAGTAGGCCCATCACGCACCCGTAGCTTCGAAATCGATGAATTTCGCCGACGGCGTATAATAGGGTCGCCTCGAATCGAATGAATATTTCGTGGTGGCTCGGGGGGTGGTGGAGGGCCTCCCTCACGGCTGAACTTTTGTTTTCGCAAAGTGGACGAGCACAAGGTTGCGTCAGGTGGACGGGATTTTGTTTCATTTTTAATCCCTCCCTAATGGGGGGTGTGCGCAAGATGCCGAGTTACCGGTGCTTCGATCGCGTTTGTTGAGGGCGAGAAATCAAAAAGCAATTAAAATGTGTATGCACCATGAGTGGCTCGGAGCTGACCGAGTTTTTATCGCCATTTGCTTACATTTTTTCCTCGATTACGCTTGTTTTGTAGTATCTGCGAGACGTAAACAAACTAGGGATGCTGCCTTGCGCAATACGCGAATAACATTTTTCAAAAGCTTTTCTCCGCACTCGCGATCAAACAAATATACGTATTTACCGGGCAGAGCGTGTTTTTTTTACCCCCCCTCTACTCGGAAAGTTTTTAAAGGAAAAAACCACGAGTCGAGTTTGTTCGGCATCAACGGTGTGCAGGGTATTTCGGGACGTTGCGGATGTTGTATTATATATTTTCAAAAATAGCCGGTCCAAGCCAAAAGACACGAAAAACCGCTGCCAAATCTCCGCGCTTTCCCAACAAGTTCTTCAAACTCGCTCCGGATTATTTATAGAGATGCCGTGTTTTGCTCTCGAGATTTTACGCTTCGCCTCGGTGGATGTTTCTTTCTTTCTTGTCTCCTTCTCCGCATTTTCTCATTGAATCGTGAAATTTTGTTACGAACGAGGAATTACATAATTGCACCATTTTTCTGTCTTCCAATTGAAGAGTATTTTACGATCGTTTCATAAGGTACAAAAATATTGAACTAAAAGATGCAGTATTCAAATGCAAAGTCACAACCATTTTTCACCAAAGGAAACAAAAAGAAAAAAAAAAAAGAAAGAGAGTTGCGTACCGCGGGCATCGTAAAGTTTTTATCTCGCAGGCATAAACTCTTGGAGTATTTTTATTCGTTTCACTAAACTGTCTCTTCAGAAAAAAGTTTTTCAATAAAAGTAGAGAAAAAAAAGCCTTGTACGGCATTTGAATGCCATTATTCACCAAAAAATCTAGTGCAGATTGAAAAGAATAAAAAAAAAACATTTGTACGCATCAGAATACAAGACAAATTTGGTGTGTATAAATTTGAAAACATTTTTTTTCATATCACGCAACAAAGGAGAGTCACGAGACGAAATAAACGCGATCGTTAAATTGTATACACTCCGTCCGCCGCGTGTACTTCTTATTGCGACGAAGAGCCGGCGGCAGTATAAAAAGCCACTTTACACTTGGACACTGTACTTACTTCTCTCTTACGTAACGCGTTAACGTACAATCTGCAGTGTGTCCGTTGTTCAAAAGCAAACGAGATCGACGGAGTGGTGGCGTGTAATAATTACGACGATGCGCATACCAGTGTCTTCTCGCTATACACGGAATCATTAGCTGATTATGTGCAGAGGCGCGACCTGTGATCCAACGAATTGATTTTTAACGAAGAGGAAAACGATTGCGAAAAATCTTTCGTAAATGCGCAATTTCCGTGGCAGGTGTGTGGTTTGTTTACTTTGGTTTTTGCGCGTGTCCCTCTTTTTCGTGAGCAGTTTTTTTTTTTTTTTTTTTTCGTAACACGGGGACGCTCAGTGCCTTGGATTTGCATTGTAAATATCGAAACGCGCGTGTGCGAGATTTTTTGCAAGTAAGCCTGTATTGGCTTCATTCGACTATTCCTGCATTTGGACGTTACTCGTGTTGGAGACACCGAATAACATTTAGATTGTCAAAAATCGACACTCACCCCTCGATCTTTTACTCGACCACCAAAAGCTCAATAAAAGCATATATTGTTGACATTATTGTACGCGAATTTTGTGAAAAAAAAAAAATCTTAAAGATCGTCTAGCAATCAACAATTTATCACGGTATGTTTATTTCCTCTCCCGCTACATTGTATAGCGCATACAATCAACCGATCTCCAGCCAAATGATGTCCGACCGTCTATACGTACAGAGAGATCACGAGGTTTCGTCAGAGAGACTTTATACAAGCGCCGCGCACACGCACACGACTCATCTCGCGGGTATAAGCTTACCGATCTTTCTTCTTCGCGTCCCGCATAAGTACCTATTACGTATGTGTGTGTGTGTATGTACGGATGCTGTATGGTAAAATGCTGTGTCGGCTCTCGTGCTACACATATACTGGGAACGACGCCGCGGGACTGACGTCACTCCCGCACACACAACGCGCTTCGCCATCAGGAGGGATAGGAAAATTTCGGAGATGCTCTCGTATACTTATAGTACCCTGTTTTATTATCTCCTTTTTTTAAGCAGACATAAGTATACGATTAACACACGTTATCGACGTGACTATGAAATCTCTTTATATTTAATTCAAGGGTTAAAGTAGAGGGACAACAACGCAATGGCTTTTCATAATGAAAATTGGAGCCGGCAAGCATATACGCAAATACAAATAAAATAAATGAAACACTAAGTACCTTGGCGTCGAAGACGAGTGTAGGTCTCCTCGCGATATCGGTAAGGTTCGTGTGTGCCGCTCGCGTGGCTCTTTGGGACAAAATCACCGACGTGGCCTCGGGATTGATGCTGCTGCTGTACCAGTAGCCGATCTCAACTTCACTCTCTATATTCGGCCACTCTTTGCTTGAGCCGGCTCTTCGCTATCACGCATTAAAAAAAAAACCAGCATACAATAACAACACTCGCAACCAACACCCCGAATCTTTTTCTTATCATCAATCACTGTACGGCGTCGAGGAGTAGAAAACAGTAATACCCGTGCCGAAAGAACAATCCGACGATATCACACTTGACACCACTGTATTTGTGTTATATCACGTAATCGTGAACGATGTATACTTATACTTGATTTTCGCCCTTTATGTATATTAAATTATTTGTTTCCACAACCACCGCGGTGATGACGATAACACGATCAGTAGAAACAGCAGCGAGTCGCCCACACAGCGATGCGCACCGTACGTATATATGTATATATTTTATACGTCCGGTCGAACGACACTTTGTGTAACGTGCGTAACACAAATTACTCGTAGCGCGCGTTGGAGTTGTTCAACGTACGAAAAACAAAACTAACGAAAAAAAACAACAACCAACTTTTCGGACAACTTGCGTCGAGCTTACGCCACCGGACGACAAATTTAAAGCTTGCGCCGTAGGTGTATTGTACAGAGTCTGATCGACACGACTCCGATTTTCCTTTTTCTCCTGTGTGCGTGTGTGGGTGTGTGAACTCACCTCGCCGGCCGCGATATTTTTTTGTTTAAATAAATATAATAATAATAATAATAATAATAACAACAGCGCAAGACAACGTGTATATAATATATTGTAACGTAATGTAATGCGGCGTCGAGAGACACGACGTTCACGGATTGCACAGGCGGACTGAGTACACTCGTCGACGTTGTCGTCGTCGTCGTCTGCGTCTCCTTCACTGGCTCGGCCAATGCACAGAGTCGGCGACGGACGAGGTGGCGGTGGTATGGCTACATTGGCGGCGGCGCCGGAGCAGCGGCGCAGCAGCAGCGCCTAAAAAACGAGGACGGAGCTAACCAGACCCGGCTTCAACGCACCTCCTCTACAATACACATATATATATACATCCGTCTCGCTCCTCTAGACCACTATATATACGCACTGTAGTATACTTTCCCACCGCTCGGCTTTTCCCCTCTCGCTTATCCACTTGGCGTATATATCTACATATCACGGGTGGTGTGTTTGTGTGCGTGTGGGTGATAACGCGGCGCGATACGTGAATTACGCGCTCGAGGCACCATCTACCGGAGACGATGCCCAGTTAGGGTACAACACGCGTGTAGTTTCGATATACCGCGGTATCAGCTCTGCATCCGCTCGCACACCCTCCCACACAGCGACGTTACGTGGTGCACAAGTTGGGTTAGGTATCTCCTTGGTGGTCTCCGTTCGCGGCACTGCGAAATAATCGCAAAACCCAAGGACCCATGATCACAGTGTATACCTATTGGCCAAGAGTAAAAGGGCGAAGCTCCAAAATCCTGTCACCCGCTGCGTGTGCTCCAAAAACGATGCCGGCTCCTCTCGCGCACCATCACCCATTCATGATTTACCTATACTGATCCCTCCTCCTCGCGCACGGAGCCGCGACACTTTAATTACCAGTGCGCATAGTCACGAGAGTGCACGCGTGACGCGAGACAGACAAGTCCATGTGATTGTATGACAGGAGGATGTATCTCGTTATACAGGTACACACACACACACACACAATGGAGAGTATATCGGAGCAGAGCAGCGTGGAACACGCGGGGATAACGTAACAGCGGGCGGTAGCTTAATAGGTCGGTCCGTCCTTGTCTGTCTGCTACAGTACAGCAGGTGCGCCAGTCGCGGTGCAGTATACGTACGTTGTTGCTACACGCACAGCTGACGGATGCCCGCAGTCGACGACCTTCTTTCTCTCTTGCGCCCCTTCGGCTGCAGCGGACCTCCAACAAAAGCTCCCTCTCTCTCTCACGTGCAGTTTCTCGCGTGCGTGGCCGTACAACAGAACGGAAGAGAGGGGATACAGATACAGAAGAGGGTGGCTGTGTAGTGTGTACGCGCCACTTTTCCGGAGCTCTCGCGCGTGCGGGGGTTGGCCGAGTCGCGTATATATATATATATATGTATCGCCGAAGGCGCGGCCGCACTTATTCCGAGCAACAAAAGCTGCACAAAGACGAGGCGACCAAAGACGAGCCGCTAAAACAATGTAAAACCAGAGAAGGGGCAAGAAACAAAGAGCGAGAGAGAACGCGTGCGAAAAGAGCAGCAGTACAGGGGTGCAAGGGGGGGTGGGTGGGAAACAAGGAGGGGGTGGATATAAAGAGCTATTACTTCTGGCGGCGGCGGCGCGCGCGACAAACACTCGCGACTGGTATAGCGGGTCGCGCTATGCGGCGCCCGACGCCAGCGCCCCACCGATCTCCCCTTGCCCCCCTCCCACCTATGTATAACTGCAAGCACCGGCTTCTGCCTCCCCCCCCCGACGTGTTCTCCCTCCCTTCAACCCTAAAAAGTGGGGTAGTGTGCGTTAACGGACCTGCGCATTTCTCTGCTGTCGTTACTACCACCAGCGTGGTTCTGCTACCCCCCGCATGCGGATGCCAACCCCCCACCCCATTCGACTGACGCTACCACCGCATCGGCGACCCATACCACTCTACTGCAGCTTGATCTTTGTACCTACTCTATCGTGGAGTGTGTGAGTGCGAGCTCGTGTTTAGGTCCGTATAGGTACCCACCGTTGCTTTTTCGGAGGGGGTGGTTTCATAAAAAAAAAAACAAAAGAAAAGAACGAGGATGCACATTTTTTCGGCCTCCCACAACCCACCCTCTGTAATTTCTGTAGCAGCGCGTGGTTAAAGGGCGATTTTTCCAAAATGATAGTCTCCTTGTCCTTGATTTTTCGGCCCCCTCCTCCCCCCGCGCTCTTTGATTACCATCACCCGCGAAGATAAGGTGTCCGGCGTGATTACTCCCGACAGCCTTTCTTTCGACCCAAGGAGATTCACGTCCTCCTTGGTGTGTTTTTTTGTCCAGTCACTCTGCGAGACTGACTCTCGGAAAAACAAAGAGCAAGGGGCTCGGTGTAATTGCCATGTTGTAGTTTTCGAAAGTGCATACACGCAGACTCGCCGGCTCTGCAGTCCTTGGACTTAGTAACAGAGCTGCGCTCAAACCACTCCCCTTTTCTCTCGTACAATGCTTATATACCTACTGCCATGATTCTTCCGCTGCCAACGATAAATCTATCGCTGCGAAACTACATTTCACTAAATTAGATTTCTTTTTTTTTTTTTCCCTTCCTTCCTTTATTTTTTCGCTCGCCCCGGTGAGATAAGGCAGGGAAAGGGAGCACGAGAGAGAGAGAGAGAAACGTCGGAGTGTTAAGTCACGGCTCTCGGGAGGAAAGGCTATTTAATCGCGCTTTGGTCGAACTACTCCGCTTGGAAATCAATAAGCCGATCGCTCGTTGGAGCTTTGGAATGTGTCCGGTTTTTCCTTTGTCCTTTGAATGAAAAAGATACAAACACTGTCCTTTGTATCGAAGACACGTCGAGGTATTGGAGATTTATTGAGAAACTCCGATGGGGACAATCGTATGAACGCTCGTAGATGGGTTTACGATACTTTGGAGATCTGGATGAATATACCTCGGGCTGATGCTGTGTACTGTTAAAAACATTATGACGTTGGTTTTGTAATTCTAATTCGATCCAATAATTTGATAAACATTATCTTTCTCAAACCAAGAGAATCTCTTTGATTTCTGGATGCATGAATCTAGTAAAGAACGGATGGGGAACCACGCAGTATTAGAATGTGTAACGAAAATTACTGTTATCGATACTTCTGGCTTACCAACTCATAACGGGGAAAACACTTGGGCTGGGTTATACTTGCAGAGATAGGCCATTAAAACCCCAATAATCGAGACTTGGTAAATTCAATGCACTTCTTTAAGCAAATATTTTTTTGTAAGATCCGTACACAACTTCATCCATATACAGAGTTTCAGGCAAAAGTGTAAGTATTTACATTTTTGGCACAAATCAAAAAATTCAGGCCCTGAATCCACTTGGAAACTGTTCCAGTTGGAGTCACTGAGCTATGGGTACCCTCGTGCGCTGACTAATAATAACGGTGGCTGTAACAGGTAAAATCTACCACCAGGAATAAAAAAAGTTGAAGACGAAAGTTGAAAATATAAAAGCTAGTTAACCCACTGGATCATACAGTTTTTATTACACGACAACAAAAGAGTATTTTAATTTTCAATACGAACAATGTCTTCTAAAAACGCTCTATATCATTCCATATGCAACGTCAGTATTTTCGGAATTGAAACAAACCACTGTGATTTTAATCAGTAGCTCGAATTGTGGCCTAAAAATACCATTTCGATGAAAAACCACACTTGCACAGGCATACAAACATCCACACAAAACTCACAAACTGTACAGAAAGAGATAGAGATGGAAAGCATGTGGTTACACGCTCCTCATTCATCGCTCGCGTACGTCCATACTGACCCACGCAGCGCGTATACATACTTACATTCACCCAACCAAAGCGTTTTGGGCACTAATTAATCGAGAACGTGGGCGCAGCCAGTGCGCACGTCCATGAATGCATACACACACACACGTGTACCATACGCTTTGAATTCGCAATTAAACGTAGTCGATTAAAAAAAAAAAAAAAAAAAAAAAAAAAAAAAAAAAAAAAAAAAAAAAAAA